TTGGACAAGTCAACATTTCTATCCAAAATTTGTAATGAGAATGACACATACTTGTATCTTAGTTTGATTAGGTGATTAAATGAATTTATGTGAACTGTTGGTACATAAGCTCACACAGATATCTGCTTTGGTGATGATGATAATTTCCTCCAGTGATCTTCTCTTACCCCTCTAGTTGAAAAGGCTAAAGGAGTATGTGTGTATTTCATTTTTTCCTCTGCTTTATATACCTTGAGGGCTGAAAAAATGCGAAGGTTTAAAAAATGTGGAGAGCTACTGTTGCAGATGTATAATTTGGATCCTCTGCTCTCTGAGCATTTTTTTTCCCCCTCATCAATCTCCATTCCCAATTTGCACAATGGCTATGCAAGTTCCATCACTTTGCTTTAGACTCCTCTTCCACCTCTTCTCTCCCTTCCTCATTGGATACCAAAAGAAGCTCTTCTTCATAAGTAAATGATATGTAATGGCACAATTTGTGAGTAGGTATTTATGCAAACTTGAGAGGTATTTTTACATACAATATGACCTCTGATCTTTTAACCAAAACCCAACATAGTTAGTTGTCTGCTGCAGACATGAGAGGTTTCCCAGGACTACTGCTGATGCTTCCTTACTGACTTGTCATCATCATCTTCAGTTGATAGATAGAAAATTAAGCCTCAGGAAGGTTTAGTGCTTAGATGATAAATCAGACTCCTGAAATGTACATCCTGACTTCTTTTCACACTATTTCACACTTTCTTCCCTTCTACATCCAAAATGATCTTTATGTCGTACCTTCAGCTTCTGAAAAAGTGGCACCACCTCTTTCTATCAGTATTTTCCATTGATTATTGATCTTTGCTCTCCAATTGCTCTTGCTTCCCACACAGTTTTTCTAATCACTTATCATCTTATTTAAATATATGATTTCAGGGGCACGTGGGTGGCTCAGTCGGTTAAGCGTCCAACTTCACCTCAGCTCATGATCTCACGGTTCGTGGGTTTGAGCCCTGCTTTGGGTTCTGTGCTGACAGCTCAGAGCCTAGAGCCTGCTTCAGATTCTGTGTCTCCCTCTCTCTCTGCCCCTCTCCCACTCTTGCTCTGTCTCTCTCTGTCTCAAAAATAAATAAAACAAATAAAAAAATTTAAAAAAGATTTAAATATATGATTTCACTCATATGTGGAATTTAAGAAATGCAACACATGAACATAGGGGAAGGGAAGGAAATGAAAGATAAAAACAGAAAGGGAATCAAACCATAAGAGAGTCTTAAATACATAGAGTAAACTGAGGGCTGCTGGAGGAGTGGTGGGTAGAGGGATGGGTTAAATAGGTGATGGGCATTAAGGAGGGCACTTGTTGGGATGAGTTCCGGGTGTCATATGTAAGTGATGAATCACTGGGTTCTGTACCTGAAACCATTATTATACCATATGTTAACTAACTTGGATTTAAATAAAATAATTATAATAGTCATAATTAAAAAAAACAACTCTCTCATCCCTTGGCATCTTTCATATAGCTTTAATATTGTTCGAGTCTCATTGACCACATTACATTATGTGGAGAGACAAAATTCCTCAAAAATAATCTAAACTATTTTAGATGGGGGTTTCCTGGTCTTTACTCAGGCTTTAGCCTTTGACAACCTAATTTCTGCTCTGACCACTGAGTGTTCTAGCTATAATGCTCACTGAACAGCTAATGTACACTTGCTAGTTCTTTTCTCATTTGACATGTCTCAAAATTGGCACTGTTGACTTCTCCCTCTTTCATAAAACTCTCCCATCACTTGATGGAAGTGGTCCCCTTTTTCTTTCTTGATTGTTCCTCTTCTTCTCTTGTCATCTTCCTTCTCTTCCTGTGCTGCTTCCCTTCTTCTCCACACCCCTTAAGTTCCTATTTTCCATGGTTCTCTCCTGGCCCTCCCTCTCTATTTCCCTCTAAGTTGCAGTCCACTAAAATAAATATAGACCGTACAGCGGCACACTGCTTTTTTGAAAAAAAAAATGTGGCTACGTATAATGATTAATAAAATCTGAATTCACTTCACAATACTATTGAATTTATAACAGGATTCTCTCATTATGGGTTTCCTTAATTATCTTAATACTAAGGTTAACTATTAGTAAACTTATTATTACCTGTGATTCTGGTCACTTTTAAAATTTTAACCTTTCTCTTCATATTGAAGACCTGGAGCTTTTCATTTAGGACATGAGGTTATTTAATACCTAATTCCTACCTGCTTTGCATTTATATGTCTTCCATTGTGCATTCATTCTCTATCTATTATTTAATTCTCCCAACCTCTTCATGCCGGTTATTGCCTTGTCTGAGTAACTTGTTTTCCATCAGTTGGGAATGCTTTTGGTTTTAAAATGTCTATCTCCTTGCTTATCCAATATACTATTTAGAACATTTAGGGAGAAATAGCAAAACTGGATTAACTAAAGCAAACACAAAAATGAGGGAAAGAAATCTTTGATAGGGATATAGGAATGTTTTGTGGAAGCTAAGTGCAAAAATAAAATTTGTCACAGGAAGGGACTAGATCCTGTGTTTTGGTTACTTGCAACAAGTATTTATCATTATCTCTTGGGGTTTCTCATGGGATTGTAGGAAGTTGTTGGCCAGCATTGCAGTGACCTGTAAGCCCATTTAGACTGGACATCCAAGATGATTGACCCATGTCTAGCAGTTGATGCTCATTGTCAGCTAGAATCTCACTTGGGATCCTTCACTGAAATATTTACCCATGGCTTCTTTATATGGCTTAGGCTCCTCACAGCATGCCGGATGGGTTCCAAGATGGAACATCCCAAGAATATATGTTCCACTGATGCCTGGGTGGCTCAGTTGAATAGGTGTCTGACTCTTGCTATCAGCTCTTGTCATCATCTCATGCTTCATGGGATCAAGCCCCAGTGTCGGGTTTTGGGTTCTGCATTGACAGTATGGAGCCTGCTTGGGATTCATTCTCTCTCTCTCTCTCTCTCTCTCTTTTTCTCTCTTTCTGCCACTCTCCCACTTGTGCACTGTCTCTCTCTCTCTCCCTCTGTCTCTCTCTCTCAAGAAGAAATAAATAAATAAACATTTAAAATAAGAGTTTATATTCCAAAAAGGCAGAAGTGGAAGCTGTTCTCCCTCTTAGGAACTGATAGAACACTATTTCTGCCCTTTTCTCTTGGTCAAAGTATTCAAAGGGCCAACCCAGATTTAAAGAGATAAAGAAACTCTGCCTCTAAATAGAGGAATGGTATGAGGAACATGTAGCATGGAAAGTGATGTTACATCCATCTTTGGAAAATGTCATTTATTTCAGCCTATGATCGAAAGCCATCAATATTTTTTTTCTGCTCCTTTTTGCATCTACTTCTTTCTTCTCTTTCTAGTCATCAACCTTTGCTATTCCTCAACAGACACTACAAACTGGGGAGTTCATAAACACAGACTCCTTAGTATATGTGACAATTCTCAGCACCCACAGAGCTTTACCAGTCCTTGTCTTGTCAATTCTGAGGAAGAATCTGATAGGCCTAACTGATCACAAGCATTGTCCATGTTTTAATCATCTGTGACTTGGGGGTAACATCCTATGACATCTCTTAGCTTCCTTGTTAAGGGTTACTCTATCCTACATACTCCCATTAAATTTTGTAGGTTCTCTAGCATTTATACCTCTGTGAATAATGTTACTATGTACTTATATGTATCCCTGACCCCAAATTCTATGGTTTCTGGAGAATAGCACATACTGCTTTGTCTTATATAAGGGAGCAATTCAACCAATGAAGCTATTTCATATATATTATAAAGTAAAAAGAAAAGTATGTATTTGCATGAATCTTATGTTGTCTTTATAATTGTTAGGATCAGTATGCCAAAGAATGATATTAAGGTATATCTGTACATTTATAGCCTTGTATCCTAAGTAACTCCTTCACCACATAACCCATTTTATTGGGATGATTCTCATTACTCACTGCTAGGTTGTAGTTCTCTGTGGTAACTAACTTGTAATCAAACTGTTGTTATTTTCTAGTAATATATACTGGAATTGACTCCAATTCGTATAATTAGGTTAAACTAATATGCATTATGCAAATTGTTTTGCATGATAACTTTATGGACACTGTGGTATAAGTTAATCAGTTTCTTTTCTAACTTACTTGTGATAATCTGACAGCAACCAAAATTTAAATTAGAATAATTTGATCACTTGCTGATATTTGCTGGATCTGGCAGAGAGAATTTATTGTTTGAGTCTCTGCACACTACGGGTTTGGACCCACTCCTGTAGCATGCTCAGAAGTGTACAAGTCATATACAGAGATACGAGTGAATGTAACTCAGTCAAAAATATCCACTCAATATAGAAAATACAGCAATTTTTATACTTACTCAAATTTCAAAAGTCAGTCTCATTAGGAAGCTTTTAAGTATCTATCAGACAAAAAGCAAGGCCCATTAAAGGATTTAACTTCACTTTCCTAAATCCATAATTACTCTGAAATTTAACTGAAATTTTGCACAGAATGACTGAATAAAGATCACTATTAAGGAATATTGTCCACATGCAAGTATCTCATTATATCTTATCCCTGTCACATCTCATATACGTGTGTGTGTGTGTGTGTGTGTGTGTGTGTGTGCGTGCATGCATAATGTCTTGTCTTTGGTCAGATTTATAAATCCCAAGATAAATGAGTATCCGTCTTAAATATTAGATGTAAACAGTTGTTTCCTACTGAAAATACCTTAAATAGCTATTCTTTATTGCTGACTTCAAAGGATAATTTCTTTTCCTAATAACCCAAATAGGAGAGAAATAAATCATTTCATTTCATATTTGATAACTTTTGGCAATTAAAAATAACTATTGATATTTTATGGGAGGCTACATTGTAAGAGCGGTTTAAGAGAGTTTCAGAATTTCATCTTCTTTGAAAGTGTGATATTCTTTGCAATAACCTGCAAAGCATGCTGACTAATAATGTTGTCCTCCCAACAGAAAATCCAATCAGATTTAACAAGTCATGAGATCAGTTTAGAGGAGATGAAGAAACATTACCAGGGAAAGGAGACTGCCCAAAGGATGCTATCCCAAATTGATGTGGCCCAGGTACGTGTTACTGCGTAAACTAAGGAACTGGTTTTAATTGGGTATTAAAACATACTCTGTATTAGACACTTTGATTATTAGCAAAATTAAGATTGAGGGTATTATTTGAAAACTACATTATGATATATAACTAATACAGATTTGGGGGGTTGTCCATTTTAAGGATAAAATTAATAAATTATATTTTATTTAATACCATGTTAAGAACAACTACTGAATTCTCCCAAATGCATGTATTCTTTGTGCTGGAAAGGTAGAAAAGAATTGCTTTAGGTTTTGTTTTTTTTTGTTTTTTTTTTTTTTTACTCTTTTTTATCTTTAGGAGTAAAGAAAAATCTCTTAACCAAAATAAGAATGCCTATTGTTTGGAATGTGAAATTATAGCGGTGCTTTCTTAAATTGTCTTTACAGAAAAAATTGCAAGATGTTTCCTTGAAGTTTCGATTATTCCAGAAGCCAGCCAATTTTGAGCAGCGTCTCCAGGAAAGTAAGATGATTTTAGATGAAGTGAAGATGCATTTGCCTGCATTGGAAACAAAGAGCGTGGAACAGGAAGTAGTACAGTCACAGTTAAATCATTGTGTGGTATGTATTTCTGGTGACAAATGTGCAGCTCCTCCTGAACTTTCCTTCTTAAGAAGTATGTGAGGATCCTCTTTTATAGCAGAAGGTTGTTTTCAGATAACTACAATAATTATATGATGTAATTTTAAGATTAAGAACAAACATTAGCACATGCATGTTGAGAGACAAGAACATTTACTGAAATAGTAGCATTTTAATACATCCTCTGTAGGTGTCTTTTTTGAATCCAGAATTCCCTAAGGACTGTGTAGAATATAAGAGGAAATCCCCTTTATTTAATTTTTTTAAGTTTATTTATTTATTTTGAGAGATAGAGAGTGAGCAGGGGAGAAGTAGAGACAGAAGGAGAGAGAGAGAATTTTAAGCAGGCTCCACACTGGCAGCATGGAGCCTGATTTGCGGCTTGAACCAAGGAACCATGAGATCATGACCATGAAACCAAGAGTCGGTTGCTTAACTGACTGAGCTACCCAGGTGCCCCTATTTAATTTTTATAGTACTTTGAACATATATTTTAAATGCACATTCTAAAAAGAAATATATTGGTTTGGAAACAGCAACAATAGCAACAGCTACCAATTAACTAAGTGATCTATACAAGTCATCTCTAATTCTCAAGGCCACAGATTAAATGAGAAAATTTAAAGACAAAACAGCTGGTGACGAGCAAAAGGAAGATTCCAATCCCGGCACTCTTGCTCCAAATCCCGGTATCTTCCCATTAAGCATCAGTGCTGGATATATACCAAAATCCCACCACACCTCAAAGACAGAATAAAGAGGCATGGAAGGCATATGATTAGCCTGTAGTGTAAATTTTCAGAGGATCTGGGGATTTTGAGCTGTGTCCCTTGTTGCAGCTATTAGAAATTTGCCAAGACTGATAACTTCTCTGAGGACTTAAGGCTGCATTGCAAAGACATTCTATATCAGAGTAATGTAACTGTTATTATAACTCGATGTGTACCTCAGCCAACAGGGTACAAATTCACATAAAATAAGAGCACTGAATATTATTAACATTGAAGATAAAAAGGGTTATCTCATTAGTACTTTGTGTTTTCAGTATTGTTTCTGCAATTTACTCTCTAACATAAATTTAAAAGAAACATTCTAGATGCATTTCGGTAATATTATTTTGAGTGGGAAGGTATCTTTTAACAAAAATTTTATAATCTGTATATTTCTTTGTGAAAAATCATGAAATATTATGCAGTGACATTTCTTCATAATACAGGCAGCATTTTAGTGGCATCATTATTATAAATGTTCCTACCCCCAAAAAGAAAATTTGAATATAATAATATGTAATTATTAGCTGGTGTTAGATGAGCGACATTAGGGATTTCTAGGATGATATCGCCTCTTAAATTTTGCCAAAATTATTGAAAGCAGAATGACTCAAGTATACTATTATTATGATTAAATATATTGCCCAAAGGGAGAGCTGTTCCCTTCCATGAATAGGCGTCTCATAGGACTTTGTAAAACTTGCCTGCTGGTAACTATGAGGTGAACACTGTGCTCCCTGCACCCACGTGACTGCCATGACACTGCACCCCGAAACAGCTTCGAGTACTTGCTCAATTTGTTTCTAGTTCTGCTTTAAGGTCAGGAGCAATTCAAATAGGCCTTCCATAAGGATTTTTTTTACAACATTTATATTTTTAAAAATTACTTATGATGTCTTATTGCATATACTATAATCATGGTCTTTGCATTCAAGAAATTTCTGTTGAGTTAACAAAAAGTCTTCCCACCATGAACACAAATAAATATAAGGGGTATTTCCCTCTCTTAGTGATAAATATTTTCTCTGCGTACTGAATGATATGATTCTAATGGCTAGCAGTACTTTAAACTTTCAACATAAATGTAAATCACTGTAATTTTTTTATGTTTAAAGAGTAAATCATTCGCAAATATCTCTGATTCCAAAATTCACAGGATTGATTCCATCTGTACAGTTAATTATTGAATATTTCTACATACCAAGATAAATTTATCATTTTTTAGGTGAAAATAAAATGAAATACAAAAAAGTCATCTGGAAAGCTCAGACCCTAAAATTATTAGTAAAGGAATATTAACAATAAACAACCATCCAAGAAGGGATTAAGATGGAAATAGATTATGTATGTAGCTTTCATTAATATTTGCTTAACCTTTACAAAATGTGTTGTTTTAGGCATTGGTTTTAAAGTGAAAAGAGAAAATAAACCAAGTTTTAATTCAGAAGTAAAAGCAACTACCTACTGTATTTCTTAGTATCAATAAAACATGTAGTCATTCACACTTACCACTGAACACGTTAAAGCAACAATGTATCATGTAAACTATTATATATGCATGTCTACACATATACCTATGTGTATGCATGCATGCATTCATACATACCCATATCTTTCCATGAATATAGGTGCAATGTGAAGTTATGACACCTGTTTTCATGAGTCTGAAAGCAGTATACCTTCATGAAATAATACATGTGTTCTTTAGAGTTGTGATATACATGTGAGGTTTTAAATAATATTTTTATATCTGTATTTAATTGGTCCACTCCATTAAGAAAATACATTTACATCAGATAATTAGCATATTTAAAATTGCTGCCTTATGGGGCGCCTGGGTGGCTTAGTCGGTTAAGCGTCCGACTTTCGCTTAGGTCATGATCTTGCGGTTCGTGGGTTCGAGCCCCACGTCGGGCTCTGTGCTGACTGCCAGCTCTGAGCCTGGAGCCTGTTTCAGTCTGTGACTCCCTCTCTCTCTGACCCTCCCCTGCTCACGCTGTCTCTCTCTCTCTCTCTCCTAGAAATAAATAAAACATTAAAAAATAATAAAATAAAATTGCTGCCTTACTCATACATGATTTAATTAATAGATGTGGACATCCTGATCTGGATATTTAGGTGCTTCATGCCCACTGAAATGTGTGAGAACAGCAGTGAATGTGTCTTGACCACTGCTCATTCTCTAGTGATTCTGATACTGTCTGGTGCAGTGGGCTCTCCATAAATACCTGGTGAAACAGTAAATGAATTTTTCCAAATTCCCAGCTAACATTTTATAACTAGAAGATTTAAAATAGAAACTATCTTTTAGAAATAATTTTGATCAACTTAGATTGTAAAAATAAGTATATGCATGAGAATATACTTATTACTTACTTTAGTAAAAATAACTATAGACTCTGCATGTCTGTATGTGTAAATATAATTGCAAATGGAAACGTTCCATCAACAAAAAATGCAAATGCGACCTATTGATCACAGCTGCAAAATTCTACTACATTAAAGGTATATAGCATGCATGGAACAAAAACAAAGGTGATCTCTATCTCCATTTCTTTTTTATTAATGATGGTAGTATCATTTGGACACTATTGCTTATTATGTTTTGTTTTCTGTTTTAACTTAGAACTTGTATAAAAGTCTGAGTGAAGTGAAGTCTGAAGTGGAAATGGTGATAAAAACTGGACGTCAGATTGTACAGAAGAGGCAGACAGAAAACCCTAAAGAACTTGATGAAAGAGTTACGGCGTTGAAATTGCATTATAATGAGCTGGGAGCAAAGGTGTGTGCACACTGGAACCACAAACACTGGCTATTTACCACTTTCTTAAGTGCAAAGCGAGAAGGAGTCATGATTCACAATTAATGTCTTCATCATTTTCTCTCAGTAGATAGATCCATGCATATATTTATGCATAGACAAAGGTAGATATAGATATATTCCGACATGTAGTTCTTGTTAAGAAACAATAATTAATCCATAAGGATCTTCTTTCCAGGCTGCATTAAAAAATATGTACAGCTCAAGGAGATTTTTATTGGCCCATCATATGGTTTTAAAAGGGTTTCTTTGTTCTAAACTTGCCTTCTTTTCATTGAATAAATTTACTTGTGATGACTTAAAGGCTGGAGCCTTTTATAAACTAATGTGCTTATGTATATTTAGATACAATGGAGTTGACACATTCCCCAGAGACCACATTAGGTGTAATAGAGTTGTCACATGCCATAGAAATTATTTCCCTTTGTGGCAAGTCTTGCATAATCTACCACATTTGGCTGATGAGGTAGTGTGGATATCCAGTTAAGTCCTATCCCTCTATGATTATTTTTGTATTTTTGTCCTGATAGTGTTCAATGACCAATTCCATGTCACTGTTAATTAAAGATGTTTATATCTCTCTGTCCCCTTTCCCAAACTGTGGAATGACTAGGCTGGTTACCTCACTTCCCTCAAATTCAACCTCAAATACTCCTGCTCACAGCGTCAGGGCCCCTATCAGCCTCACTTACATTTATCCTGGAAACGACTGCGGAGGCATTCTACTGCAGGTGGCACTCTTTTAAATGTATCCCTTTTCCACACACGTACACACAAAAGTGTAAAACTCAATTTTCCTTAAGATGGCAGTGTCTCCTGTTTTATTAAAACCTATTTAGGTGGATATAAACAAAATAGAATAAATAAAAATCAATAATGCATTAGCTCTGGGAAGATAGAATTTCTTTGAAATATCGAATCTTGAATTCCTTTTCTACCACTTGTGCATAGGAAAAAATAACTGTGCACAGAAACACGCTATAAGGTATATTTTTTTCTCCCACACACAAATAAAATCCTCGCAGTCAAAAGGGCAGATGTTTTTACTTCCCTGAAGGGGGAAATCTGTAAAAAGAAAAAATTGAATTTGCAGCCTCAGCACCTAAACATTTTTTTCTTTTAATGTGTATACACCTCTGCTAAAGAAACTAAAACATCTTGTTGAGTGTTTGAAATTCATATCAAAATTTCATTGTGTTTGTTTTGATTGTAGCATTTTAAATTCTTTAAAGATATCCTTACTTTGGCATTTTTCATGCTTGTGGCTGGATTATTATATATATGTGTTGATATGTGCATATCTATGTGTATTTGTGTATAATGGATAGGTGGATTGATTAATAGATCAAGAGATTCTGGGCTTTTTGTTCAACCAACCAACCCTAAACACTTACAAATTATAGGCACATCTGGAGAGGTGGTGGAATAGTACAAATTTGTTCATTCTCTGTGTGAGAATGTAGAAGAATTTGATTGTGTGTGTGGGGGGGGGGGGCAGGTTAGCTCTAAACACTGAAAACTGGGATACAAAATGAGGTCATGATTTTCTCTGTTAATAAGGGTAAAATTTTTGTTTTGGAATTAAATTTTTTACCCCCATTGGATGGCAAAATATGTTTAAAGAGTAAGTGACTTACTTTGTGTGTTGCTTTTCTGCAAAAGTAAGGCACTTTAGAGATACAGTGGCAATAAAACTGACCATTTTAAAAGCATTATAGAAATAATTTTGCTGCATGAGAGAAGCCATATTCTTTCTTTCTCTGTGTTGATTGCTTACCAGCAAGAGCAAACCTCATTTGTCCACAGAGGATTGTAAAACTTTGCCCATCCATTTGGCAGGTAATTGAAGATTTTCTAAAAGCAGTGTGTTATATCTTCAATTTGAATTACATCATTCAATATATTTAAGAAATTTGACCATAAATTATTTTTATTTGTATTGAAGAAAATGATTATAGATTTTTTTTTTTCCTACCGGGTATGGGGCAGTGGTCTTTTGAAGAGGGGATCTCATCTTCCCCAGACTGTGTTTATTCACCATTAATAGTGAGAATATCTGGTTTTTCTAAAATGTTACTTTTAAAAAATAAGAAAAAGGATCTTTTTAACTGACAAAAATATTGAAGTTCCCATTCCATGAGTGTAACTAAACCTAAAATGAAAAAGTAAACCAGGGTACATTTTATTATCATTCTTTTCAGGTGACCGAAAGAAAGCAACAGTTGGAAAAATGCTTGAAATTGTCCCGTAAGATGCGAAAGGAAATGAACGCCCTGACAGAATGGCTGGCGGCTACAGATACGGAATTGACGAAGAGATCAGCAGTTGAAGGAATGCCTAGTAATTTGGATTCCGAAGTTGCCTGGGGAAAGGTAAAGTCTCTGTCACTGAAGGTTATTTTTAACACACAAAGAAACACACAGCAATGTGAATTTGCGAGACACTGTTAATGCGCAGCAATAGTTGAATTACAAATATTATCTTGCTTCACTTTTCCTTTCCTCAGTATTTCATCCACAGTTTCACTCTATATTTCTGAAACATGATAAAACCGGTGGGCCGCTTTAGCGAGAATCTCCCAGAGGTGGTTTAGAATTAGGTAGGTTTTGAATAAGTCCTTAAAAATACATGCATCGTTTGTCAGAAAGTGAATCTGAAGACGAGATTTTGCATTCCCTGGCTTGCCCGAGACTGCTTAGAGAGTCTCTACAACCACGATGAGAGCAGGCAAGCGCAGGCTGCAGACACCGGGGCTGGGCAAGACTTGCTGGATCAGCAGATGGCTGACGTCACAATTAAAAACAGTCTTCAGGGGTCTGTATATCTGCCACCGTTTCCATCACCCAAAGGCACAGGGTTTCCTTTAATCCTCAGCTGGTACATACTTGCCTTTTCTCTTGACAGCCAGTCAGACATTAATGCTCCCTAAAATTTAAGGTCAAGGTACTCATAGCTTCATTTATTATTTTTTCAGTTGATTCATTACTAGATTACTAGAAAAGGTGTTGATAGAAAGGAAGCAGTCAATATTAATAATGTGTTTTCATCTGAAACTTTGCTAGGCATTTAGGAAAAAAATCACAACACACTCTACCCCGTTGATTTTTTTTTTAATTAACAAACACTTGATGTATCAGTGAGATGTTTCAGAAATCTATGCTTTATTTTTAACTCAACAGGCTAGTTAGATTATCCAAAGTTGAGAAATTTTAATTGCATTAAGGAAAAACGTAGTCATACAGTGAGACCAAAACTGAAAACTGATTTTCTTTTATGTAAGTTCAGAGGACAAGAATATGTAAAATGTTGTTCCATACATAGTTTTCAGGTAAAGAGTAGAGAGTGATTTCTTTCTCTTCCCACTCAGAATAGATTTATTGGTAGAGATACTGAATTGCATTTATTAGTTCAGGATCATATATGTTGTGAGATGATGATAGTAGCAGGTTCACAGAGTACAGGCTAAAAATCACACTGGTCTTATGTTTTCCCCTTATTCCCCACACAAGCATTATATTTTTGTGTGATAATTTAGTTTGAGCCACTGGCAATCATATACTTACATGAAGGCTGGGCGGCTCTAAGAAATAAGTGAAAAATGATATGTCTTCAAGAACATAGAGGTTTATCTCTATCTCATGTAAGGTAGATAGTTCTGGATAGGGGAAGCAGTTTTCTTTTAGGAAATTCTCCTAAGACATAGGTCATTTCCATTTCACTGTTCTGCAGTCCTCTGGGTATTTGTATTCTCATGATAAAACTTGCTCACCACCACACTTCCCTCCCAGCCCATAAAAGGAAGGGTAAAAAGGAAGTGGATCATATTTAGCTTCCAGGGAGGATGGCAAAAGATGGTTCCTAACTGGGTGGCCAATGTGTCCTGCTTAAATGATGAGTAGATTTCATCTGTGAAAGAGAGAATACGTTCTGGTGGACACATACCATCTTTGGCCCCAGCAGTACCACCCCTAAATTTTTTATCTTAAGATAAAGGCGGAGGAAGACCTGCATCATTTTTTCCCTTTATAAAAACCCATGTCCTGTTGATGACAGTTTCCACCATAAGCACTTATACACAAACAAAAAGGCCCAGAAAATGTGTATTATCTATTAGAATATGAAATACAGTAAACCACGCAAGAGGCAAGTGGTGGCGTGTGTGGAGAACTCATGAAAATAACCCAGCCTTTATTCTCACTCACGCTCCCCTTAAAACTATGGACAGTATCTTCAAGTGTTCAGATCCATTGTAATGGGTATATTAGTTTGCTACATCTCTTGTAACAAAGTATCACAGATGGGGGCTTAAACAGCAGAAATTCCTACAGGCTTGAAGTTTGAGGTCAAGGTGTTGGCAGGGTTTTGGTTTTGGTTTTGGTTTTGGTTCATTCTGAGGCCTCTCTCCTTGGCTCATAAATAGCTATTTTCTCACATCTTCTTATGATCTTCCCTTTGTACGTGCCTGGGTCCAAATTTCTCTTCTTATAAGGACACTAGCCATATTTGATTAGGACCCTCCCTAATGACATTATTTTACTTAATTGCCTCTTTAAACTTTCTCTTTCCCTATTTTGTCACATTCTAAAGTCCTGGGGTTAGGACTTCATTATAGGAATGTCCAGAGGACACATTTCAGCTCCAAACAGTGGGGTAGCCTTATAAATATAATTTGGAAAGCTACTATAATGGTACACAAAGGAATAGAATTAGAGATGAAAGGGATTTAAAAAATTCTGACTACAGTTTACAAGTGACTGAGGTGAAACTATAAAAGTATGCCCCACAAGAACTCTAAATTCCATGTTCCCTGTAAGGTCACTGAATAAGGCACATCAGGAGATGTTTGCATGAGAGCTTTGCCATACAGTCATTAAAAAACATACTATTATATAATTAGCATGGCAAAAGTTTCTAGGTTATCCTTGTCATATTAGAAGGTTTGAGGGGTCTAGATATGGGTCACGTTATTAGGTCCATCTGGAAATTACTTTCCATGAAACCAAGGAGCAATAATAATTTGCGATCCAATAGGAAAAAAAGTATGGAAAACTGGCATTTCTTTTCTTTTGTAGACATTTATCACTCTCTCTGGATATGCTAATGCTAATGATTTGCTCTAAGACCCCTTAGTGGTCAAGTCAAAGTATACACATTTGCATCCAAATTACATACTTTGTTTAATAAATTCATCTGAAAGGTGCCTAAAGCTTTTTCAAAAATCACAACCATATAATAAAAGCATGTGACCTCCATATCTAAAGCAGTCACACTTATGATAATTTTTTAAAATGAAAGCAATCAATCTCATACAGGAAACCCCATGACTCCCTAGTACATTCTTATTTCCCATGCTTTCCTGGGAGATGGAGAACTTAACTCCAACTGTTAGTCTTGTCTGCAATTTCAAAGGATAAATGTCAGATTTTTTTTTTGAAAATAAATTGAGTATTCATTTGAATGCAATACATTGAATGTATTTGCCAATCATTCCAAGTATTTCTGACTTGAAGAAAATTTGAATATGTAGAGTCAATTTATTTTTAAACTGTTTCATTTATTTCTACTGAATTTCTTTCAGTTTTTGTTGATCTAAGAACATTATATTTATTTATATATAAAAATATTTGAATGCCTTCACAAAAATATTCTTATTTAGTTACTTGAAGCATTTATTTGACCTTTGGTATTCAAAGAAAGCGTATTTCAAAGGTATTGACTACAGTTACCTCTACTCTATTTTAATTATGGTTATCTATTATATCTATATCTATCTATATATATCTATTATATATCTAATTCCAGAAAAAAATTTAGAGTGTCTTAAAGAGATACATATGATATATTTGGTCAAGCACAAACAAATTAGAAAACTAAAGAAAGGGAAATTACTGTAGGAAAATGATGGAAGCTTTGCACAGAAATATGCCCACAGTATCCCACGGATAGTGTAATAGGCAGAGGAGAATAAAGCCTCAAAATTTGGCACCAAGCTTCCCACTGGGCAAAATAAAATGTAAATATACTTTTTTTTTATTGTGCTAAGAACACTTAACATGAGATCTAGCCACTTAACATATTTTAAGTGTACAATACTATACTGTATTAGCTGTAGGCAAAATGTTTTACAGAACATCTCTAGAGTTTGTTTATTCATTCATCTTGTATAACTGAAATGAAAGTAAACATATTTATGAGATTCAAAAGTGTTCAAATTATCAAAACTATCATTAAACCATTTTTACTCTACTAGTGAGAGCTTTTTTCTAAAATTTAAATATGGAAGAAAAATTAGAGGGAGTCATGAATGAGATGGCACCTTTTTTAATATTTTTATAATAACCATAAAAAGGTCTGTGTAGCCATTTTTGTATCAGCATGCTTCAATGCAGAAACAGTGCCATGAACCTGATTCTGGACTTTCTGTGTCTTCTTCCTGAATAAGTTTCAGGAGTTAGGCACTGCAGGATCCTGTTGATGGGCCAACAATATTGTAAAAGTGAACATTCCAAAATACAATCTTTCATCTAGGTTTCACTCCTCATAATCCTATCATCACATGTTCAAAGCCATAGATGTTAGAACACATAGCTCTTCTAAAAGATAGTGAGTGTTATATGACACATTTCCAAATCTTTAAAGGTAGCACGTACTTGGGGAAAGACTATACACCTGAGCATCTCTGAGGTATCCCAGATCAGATTTGCAGGGTCTCAAGGAGAGAAAGGAGGAGAGAACACTGAGAAGCGAGAAGCGGTTAGGATGGCATCAGGGCCGAATAGCTGGAGGCACCACTGGAAGCAAGACAAACTGTCGCTGTCAGCTCTCGCCATGTGACCACACTTCCAGATTGCAGGTAGAGGGGAAAAGATGAATACGCTGAAAATGAACTCCAGAGTTTTAAAATGTAAAAAGTAAACATTTTAAATTCAAATAACAGGAAGCAGACATTTTAGAATAATACTAGAAATGAGAGAAAAGTTTAATAATGAGAATTGGAAAGTTACACTGTTAATGCTAATTTGAACTTTCTAAAGCTCAGTAGCCCTTTCCAGGTACTTTTAAATTCCAACTGTCTGCCTCCATTAGAGTGGTGATAAAGAGAGAGAAATTAACATGAAGATTTTGAAAGGGGTGATCATCCTTAGCTGTATGGTCTGGACAACAGAAATGCCTTGAGGGAACTGTACCTGTCATGTTGGTGAATGTCTCATGATCATACCTTTTCCCCCTTCATACCTTGTGTGTGTGTTTTATTTTTTTTTATTTTTTTATTTTTTTTTATTTTTGAGAAAGAGAAGAGAGACAGAGACAGAGTGTGAGCAGAGGAGAACAGAGAAAGAAGGAGACACAGAATCCGAAGCAGGCTCCAGGC